TGCATGTTCTTCACATATACCCCAAAACCTAAAATGCAATAAAATAAATAAATGGGAAAAAAAAAAAGAGTAAATAAAAATGAAAATAAATTTTAAAACGTTCAGTTCCTACTTCTTATTTAGAGACTTGGCTTTACTTGTAACAACTGGGCAGAGGCAATTATTTAGTCATAGGCCCATTCTTCATTGCCATTTCTCACCCGTCAAATCACACAAATTCTTCATGGCCTAAATTGGACATTACACTTCAGGATATAGATGGCTGTCCTCAGTTTGAAGCAGCTTCTCTCACTTTGAAACCAATATAGTTGTTTCCCTGAATCTCTCTTATGATACTAACCACTTTGTGCCTTGCATAATTGTTACTTGAGCCCAATCCACTGCTAGATGGTGAGTTCAAAGAGAGGGCTTTAGTCCTGCTCATCCACCACAGTGCCCAGCACACAGAGTTTGGTAGATATTTGTTTCTAAATCGGGTAGCATGAGTGCTGTACACAGTGAAAACAGAGATCAGGAACTACACAGAAAGAAAAGTCTATGCTTCCTCAGAACTCTCTGACATAAATACTGTGCTATCTCATAGAAAATAATGTCATAGCTGATTTAAAGAATTGTTACCCATTTATTATATCTTTTCATTCATTCACTATTTACTGAGCACCTACTAAGTGCAAAGGCTTTGCTACACATTAAAGATACAGAGGTAAATAAATCTGCCTATTCTCATGGAGCTTTCATTCTAGAGAAGGTCACAGACTGATTAATTAAGTAGTTAAATAAATACGCAATTAACAACAATTGCTATTGGAATGATTACTATGAAAAAGAAGTATAGGGTATAAAGTGGATATAATAACAGGGATCTTACTTAGTCTGAGAAGTCAGCAATTAGGCAGGAGATGGGATGTTCCTTGATAAATCGACTTTTGAGCTGAGTGCACTAGAATGAAGATAGCCGGGCATGGTGGCTCACGCCTGTAATACCAGCACTTTGGGAGGCTGAGGTGGGCAGATCATGAGGTCAAGAGATCGAGACCATCCTGGCCAACATGGTGAAACCCCGTCTCTACTAAAAATACAAAAAAAGTAGCCAGGCATGGTGGCATGTGCTTGTGGTCCCAGCTACTCGGGAGGCTGAGGCGGAAGAATCCTGTGAACCCAGGAGGCGGAGGTTGCCGTGAGCCGAGATTGGGCTACTGCACTCCAGCCTGGTGACAGAGCAAGACTCCATCTAAAAAAAAAAAAAAAATGAAGATGAGGGGGGCTAAGTTGAGAGGAGAGTGTGTGAAGAAAGAACTTAGGTGAGAAAGGGAATAGTACATGTGAATTTCTGGAAGAACCTCAAAAACTTAATTGCCAGGGACAAGAACAGTGGAATATGAAGAAGCTGAAGACTGTAAGGGACTTAAATTTAATTCTAAGAATAATGGTAAATGCTTCCAGAGTTTTCCACAGAGGAGACACCTGATTTAATTTACTATCTGAAATAGGTAACACTGGTTGCTGTGTGAAGAATAAACTGTAGAAAGAAAAAGTGAAGGAGAAACAGCTAGTTAGGAAGTTGCTGCAGAAAAAATCAAGAATGTGCCAGGCATGATGGCTCACACCTGTAATCCCTGCACTTGGGAGGCCAAAGTGGGTGGATCGCCTGGGGCCATGAATTTGAGATCAGCCTGACCAACATGGTGAAACCCTGTCTCTACTAAAAATACAAAATTAGCCTGGGTGGTGGTGGGCACCTGTAGTCCCAGCTACTTGGGAGGCTGAGGCTGGAGGGCTGGAGAATCACTTGAATCTGGGAGGCAGGTTGTAGTGAGCCAAGATCACGCCATTGCACTCGAGCCTGGGCAACAAGAATGAAACTCCATCTCAAAAGAAAAAAAAGAGAGAGAGAGACCGAGAGAGAGAGAAGAAAAGAAAAGTTAAAGAATGAGATTATGTGGCTTGGACTAGGATACTTAAGATGGAGAGGAGCAGATAGAGCCACATGGAAAATGATCAAAGATAGATTGATCAAAAACGTAAAGAAAAAGAAAGGCAACTTGGTTCAGAGGCTCTTGAATCTCAAAGTATGGATTGCTAGTTTGTAAGAGCCAATAGCTAAGCAAATTAACAGATGTGGAAACAGATTCAGACAGGTTAAGTAGCTCGCCCAAATTCACACAATAAATTAGCAACAAAACTGAATTGCAGTCTCAACATCTTTTATATTCCTTATGTTATTCCTCATATTTATTTCTTTTAGAACCTAACTTTGACCTCTGCTTTGTTTTTCATTTTTAAAACACAGTATTGGTGCCATCCACGAGTCCTGGTGAATAGCAGGGGCCCTGATACAGTTAGACATGGAACAGATAATATATAAAGGAGTATGAAGTAAAGAACAGGGACTATTTTGCTCCTTATCATATCCTAATGCCTATCAAATACCTGGCTCACGGAAATACCACAAACAATCACTGTTGAATGAATAAATTTTATTTTCCCATCTTTCTTTAGTAAATATGTACCCCAAAACTTAAAGTATAATAAAAAAAAGAAAAGAAAAATACAATAGAAAAATAATACAAGCCTCAACTGATTTAGAGTCATCAAAATCAGGGAAGGTAGCAGAGAATCACAGAATCATAAACTGGTTGTAAAGCAACTGGTTTTGAAAAATAAGCTACAATCTACTTTTGAATTCTTAAACAACTGATATATAACTGAACATCTGAATTTTGCAAAAACTCTGATGGGCAAGGGTTTGCTCACATTTGGCAATATGGATTCTTGTAAGCAAGCACACACCTTCCAAGGTAAAAAGTCTCTATCCTAATCTCATAATACAGAGCACCAATTGGTGCTTACCTATCTGCCAAGTATGTGGTATCTGTTTCTAGGCTCATCTGACTGAGCATCTGCTTCCTTATTTGCTTTTACTGGTTACAGAAAACTTTAGATTCATTCTCTCACTGGATCTCCAAAACAGTTCTGTGGGGCAAGCAGAGCTGATATTATCAGCTTCATTTTATAGATAAGGACACTGAGAGTCACACGGAGCCAGGATTTGACTTGGGTCCAGGGTTTTCTTCTCTGCCTTATACATTGTGAATTACCCAGGGCATGTTTTGATCCAGAACATTTTCTGAGTTCCCATAGCACTGAGATTTATATTTGTTACACTAACAAAAAAGGAAACACTCAGATGCCCCTTTACTGAATCAGAGATTAAAGGGCTGAATCCTCTGAAGACCTCTGAATTCACAGTGACCTCTTCTGCTGTTTCTTTTAAAAAAACACCTTATTGAGGCAGGATTGACATAAAAAACCTGTACATATTTGATGTGCACAAAGTGATGAGTTTGAAGATACATACACGGACAAGAAACCATCATCATAATCTATGCCATGATCATATACATAACCTCTAAAAGTTTGCTCCTGCCCTATTATGTATTCATTTATTTATTAATTATTTTAGTGATTAGAACACCTTATATAAGATTTAATTTCTTAGCAAACTTTTAAGTATACAATACAGAAGTGTTACAGGCACTATGGTGTACAGTAGATTTCTAGGACTTACCATGCATAACTGAAACTTTGCATCCTTTGATTAACAGCTCTCCATTTCTCCCCCTCCTCAGCCTCTGGCAACCACCATTCTACTCTCTGCTTCTATGAGTTTAACTATTTTAGATTCTTCATATAAATAGCATCATGTAGTGTTTCTCCTTCTGTGCCTGGCTTACTTAAGTTAGCATAATGTCCTCCAGGTCCATGCATATGGCAGGATTTCCTCCTTTTTTAGGACTGACTGATATTCAATTGTATGATATAATGCCTTCTCTTTATCTATTCTAGAAAAACACTATGGAAGTGTTGCCAAATAATTAAAAATAAGAGTAGCATTTGATCCAGCAGTCCCATATCTAGACAGATATTCACTGGAGCTGAAATCAGCTGAGTATGAAAGTTGAACAGGAGATACATGAAAGCTGAAAAAAGTTGAACATAAGATGTGCACACGAGTTGTTCTCCATTTACACAGAGTGCAAATACCTCAAAGAGGTATATACTTCAAAATACTTCAAAAAGACATTTACAGTGGTACAGTTACCTTGGAAAATGTCAGTTTTTCAAAATATTAAGCATAGAGTTACCATAACTCAGTAATTCAACTTATAGCTATATACCCAACAAAACTAAAAACATACAAGTAAAAACTTGTACACATATGTCCATAGCAGCATTATTCATGATAGTCAAAATCTGGAAACCACACACAGGTCCATCAGAGATGAGTAATATTTATCAATTATGATTCAATTCAATGATGAATATTATTCATTACTAAAAAATAACATAGTGATACATGCTATATCATAGATGTACCTTGAACACATTGCATTAAGTGCAAACTAAATCAATCACAAAATGCCACATAAAATATCAACCCATGTATAAGAAATATCCAAAATAGGCAAATCTATAGAGACAGGAAGTAGACTAGTGGTTGCCTAGGGCTTAGGGAGGGGAGAATGGGTTGTGGATTTGGCTGCTAATCCTCAGGGCTTCCTTTTGGGGTGATGGAATGTTCTAAAATTAGATTGTTGTGATGGCTGCATGACTAATGTGTCTGTTTTTATTGCTTGCAATACAAGGAATCTTTAGAAAAAATATAAAATAAAAGATGTCCTCAGTAATAAAAGGGTAGATATCCCTTGGGTCTGCCAGGAGAAAAGAATCATGGGCTTGAGAACAGAGGACAAAACCTTGAGTTCTGGTTCTTCTACTTCCTATATGTAAAACTATGTCTAAACCACCTAATCTCTCCAGGCTTCTATTTCCTTATTTGTGAAATGAGAATAATAATATATTTTACAATGTTATTCTAAGATAAAATAATGTAAGCATTTTAATACTATAAAATGCTATTTGATATTATTCATCACTATAATGGTTAGTGAATATAATGGTTAGTGAATATAATGGTAATGTGAACTGTAGCTGGCACACAGTGTAAGCCTAACACAACGTATGTTTATTGCATAGAGAAATGAAGGAATGCCGATGGATAAAGGAGGAAGTACTCATTTGCTTAACACATGCATAACCATGCCTACACATATTGAAATGTTGACAACTAGCTTAGTATACTCTGTAGTACGGAGCTCTTAAAAGCAAAACCAAAAATAAACAAAACAGAAAGCTGCCTGTAATGAAGAGAAATGTTTAAATGAGTAGATAAAGCAGGTAAGAATCAGAGTGTATTGATAGGTTTCGGGCTAAGCATCTGATATGGTTTGGCTGTGTCCCCACCCAAATCTCATCTTGAATTGTAGTTCCCATAATCCCCATATGTCATGGGAGGGATCTAGTGGGAGGTAATTGAATCACGGTGGTGGTGGGGAGGGTTAACCATGCTGTTGTCATGATAGTGAATACGTCTCATGAGATCTGATGGTTTTATAAAGGGCAATTCCCCTGCACATGCTTTTTGGCCTGCTGGCATGTAGGACATGCCTTTGCTTCTCCTCCACCTTCCTCCATGATTTTGAGTCCTCCCCAGCCACATGGAACTCTGAGTCCATTAAATTTCTTTTTCTTTATAAATTACCCAGTCTCTGTTATGTCTTTATTAGCAACTTGGGAACAGACTAATACAGTATCCAATATTAGTAGACTGATGGAGGAAAGTGGGGAGTTGCTAATTTCAAATTCCAAGTATTTGGGTAGCTAATGCTTATTTTCTTGACATGACACACTAACAAATACAGAAAGATGAGCCATGGTTATAATGCAGGAAAATCTATGGCAATATCTATTTTCCCTCAGAAAGCTTCTAATTTAATAGTCTACCAAGGTCATTTCATGAATGTCGAAATTATCTCTGTGCTAGAAAAGTTATCACCATATCAATTTACAGATAGAAACAAAGAGCCAAGGCTTAAACTATCATACCTGTCACAATTGCCTCTTGCTTGCCATCCCAAGGATTACAACAGTTCAGATCTATATACTTTCTTATTTCTAAAAATTGTTACCCTTTACTTCTAAATACAAATTTAACTAGATTGAAATACAGTCAGATAATAAGTACTTTTATTTTTAAATTATTTTTAATTTCAACTTTTATTTTAGATACAAGCTACACATGCAGGTTAGTAAAATGGGACTATTGCATGATCCTGAAAGTTTGGGGTACAGATACCCGATAGGTAATTTTTCAACCTGTCCCCTCTTCCCTCCTCTCTCTAGTAGTCTGCAGTGTCTATTGTTCCCATGTTGATGTCCACATGTGCTCAATGCTTAGCTCCCTTTGTAGCAATATTCATGCAGTTGGAGGCCATAATCCTAAAGTAATTAATGTAGTAACAGAAGATAAAGTTATTTTAAAAGGGAGGGAAATAAACCCAAACATAATTTTACTTTTCAAAGATAATCATGGTTAAGATTTGGGTGTAGGCTGGACATGGTGGCTCACACCTATAATCCCAGTACGTGGGTAGGCCAAGGCAGGAGGATCACTCAGGAGGATCTCCTGAGGCCAGGCATTCAAGATTAACCTGGGCAACATGGCAAGACCCCATCTCCACAAAAAAA